AGGCGGATGCGGTTTGAGTTGTCACGAAGGAAGGTGTAGGAAGCTCCATGTTCTTCACCTGCTGACCTTTAAACATGTCTTTCTAACTCAGGGTGCTTCCTCTGTAAATATTTTGCATGCTAAAAGGAAAAAAAACCAAAAAAACCCAAAAACCTGCTTCCCTGTTTTCTTGCTGTTATGATCCAAGCAAGCAGGCTGCAGTCTGAGTCACTGCCTTACATGCAGGCAGTGACTCTGCATGTAAGTTGATCTCGGCGGCTCTCCTGGGCCCGCTGTCCGTTCAATGTGACTTGCGCTGAGGAAGACCACCTGCTCTCTGCCACCTCCCTGTGCTCCTGGGGCACAGACTCACCTGCTGGGACTCATGTGAGTCACCATCTAAGCAGGTCAGGGCAGAATTAAGATTTCTTCTCTCCTCCAGCCAGGCTCCGGGCTGAGAGCTGGAGCCAGACCTGTGGGAGCTCGATCTGGGTGCCCGGCTGGCTCGCTGCCGGACTAGCGCAGCACACCTACGACAGAAGATAGTCTGACACCTCGGAGACTAGTCAAACCAGCTGGGCGCCTGTGGTTTGGGCCATGTTGAACAGCCTGTGGGCTTGGGTAAGGAGGGCTCTGCTTGAAGTCCCTACCAGCCCTTAATTTTGCACAGCACAGCTGGGTCTTGCTGTCTACGGGCTCCGTGCTGCTCTCTGCTGGTGCTGTGTGCGCAGGGAGGCATGCTTTCGAAAATAAAGATACTCCACTTTTGACACGTAGCTTGTAGCTAACATGTTTTACGTTCACCTTAGCCATAGTCAAGGCTGTTATTCCATTCAATGCCATATTTACCTAGTTCTGCAGATACAGTTTGCATGGCGTGTTTGGTTAGTTTAAGGGGTTTTTTTTAAGATGCAAACCGAAGCAGAGAATTTCCCCTCTGTGATTATCACAGCACTAAAATCCTTTAGGAAATGTTGCTGTATTCTGTGCTGAACTTTTACTGTTTTTTATGTGGAAGTCACGTTCCCTGCTCAATTCCTCAGTGTTGATCCTGGATCGGGATGTCCGGAGGTGTCAGGAGCCAAGTGCAGTGATGGGTCTGCACAGAAAGCAGCTCTAGCAAAAATGGGCAGTGTCCTCCTTGCTGCGAGGAGGAACTGAGCCTGCTACAATGGCAGCTGGGGTTGAACTGAAGTCTTGAGCTACCTGCTGCCCTGTCAGGCTTTTGAGAAACAAGTACTTCACTCCCTCCTGGTAAGTAGGATGGAGGGAACAGAAAGCAGTAATAGGCTAACTAACGCCTGCGTTGTCTTCCCATCAGCTAGCTCCCCAGCCCTCAGTTTCCCTCCTTCTTAATGCTGCGCCTAACCCGTGCATGGGATGTGTTTTGAGGCCCTTGTTTGAAAACAAGTTTGTGAGGGAAAAGTATTAGTTTTTATTTTACTCGTGGATATGTTTTGATCATATTATGGAGAGTAAAATATCAATTGGGCACTTGTTAATCTACCAGAGAAGTCACTGCCTGAAGGGAGGAGAATGTAGGACATTTTGAGTCTGAATAGATGAGAAAGCTGTATTAGCCGGTGCAGTTTGTTTCTGATCAGTCTCTCTAGTTGCAAAAGGCTGTAATTGTGCAGTAATTCACTGCTACCTTATTTCTAAAATCCCTGCAGATGATTCCCACCAGACAGACTGCTTTGGTAAGCAGTTCATTTCAATACCTCACAAAAGCTACAGCAGAGAGCAGGGCGAGGACAAAATGAAGCAGAAGTGATTTACTGAGCAAGCAATGTCATCACTCTGCTGCACATCATGTCTTTGCAACATAAAAATTTGTTGGTTGATCTTACCTTACAGAACAAACAAGATTAAGTTGCAGAGGCACAGAAAGCAGTCCTGGCTCTCTGGGTCCAAGGCACATTTGCAAGCATGCATTAGATCTTTTTCTGTCTCCAGTGGCGTGTTCTTGTTGGCAAGATAGTGCTTTGGCACGCAGCACATCTCATAAACAGCTACCTGCTCATGGCGTCTATTTAGGTAATCGAATCAGTTACTTCCAGTTTGCCATCCTCCTTACTTACAAAGCCTTCCTTTGTGAATGATGCAAAAATGTAACTTGGTTTTTACTGATAAAAAATTCAGATTAGTCTGACTCACACCGTGTAGAGCAGTAGCTGGAGTCACTTCGTCTAGAGTCATGGAACTAGAGGAAGCCACAGTGCTGTGAAATTATAGAAAAGTAAGTTTGTGAGTGTGAGAGTGTGTGTGTGCGTGCGTGCACTCCAAGGAGAGCTCTGCAGTAGTTGCTAAACAGAAAGACAGGGAGAATTACATCGTTATAATCTCAAGGACAGCAAAGTGAAACTCTGTAATCCCCACAGGGCAAATACTCTTTGGCTCTGTTATCAGTCCAGATTAAATCCCTGGGTGTCCATACTCAGTCCCTTAAAGTTAAGTCAACGTTTGCCTGTTGCTCGAACAAGCACTCTTCTCATCTGAGTTTGTGTTCATGGCACAGAATTCTCTTTGGTTTTAAAACTTTAATAATAAATGATATTTTAGAAAAGCAATACAGCTTCTGTACCAGGAAAGGCATATTGCTTGCAGCTATTTGATTTCATAATTTAAAATTTCCTTTTTCCCCCCCATTTTAATATCAGCACTGAGGTATTTGCTAATGGAAGAACAGCATATGATGAGATATTCTGCCTGCTCTTCCTCCACCCAATTTTACCACCGCCCAAAACATAGGAGCAAGCAGCAGCCTGCCCTGGCTAGCGTGAGGAGTTCACTGCCTCAGGAAGTGATCAGATCACATCTCTGTCAGGATCTCCTGTCTTCTTGGGAATGAGAAATGCAACTCCTGAGAAAAAAAAGGGCATGTGTTAAACGCCGGAGAGAAGACACAGAACGAGTTGCACCTCATTTCAAAACTCCTCCTGCAGGCTTTGGCACTCTCTGCCGAGTTAAAAGGACCGATCCCCAAAAGGTGTGAGAAAAGCATGCTGAGAGAGCATTTCTGGGAGGGAACAACCTTACATGGAGAGGATGCACTACAGGCTGCATAGATGCTAAGAATCCTGCACTTTCTCTTCTGCATGCAGGGGTAGATGAATGTGAGAGACTGCAACGGCTGTCTTGCCTAAGCCTGGGAATGTGTGCATTGCTTTGGGCAGTGCTAGTGGGAAACCCAAACTCAGCTAAACTCCTTCAGTAAACCTGTACCACAGCAGGATGTTTTTTCATTTTTTATTGGGCAGTAGAGCCCATGAGCAAATGCCACCATACAAATGGCAGATAATAATAGTAGCTTCTTAAGTGCTCACTGTTGTCTGAATTTCCTGATGGCACAGTGCAACCTCAGGCATCAAAATGTAATGGTGCGGGAGCCGGGAGGTAGCACTTCTCCCTGGGCATGACCTGGCTGTAGAGCCCCATCTGTGATGCCACTGACAGAGCCTGAAGTGCACCAGGCAGCATGGTACTCTGCTGGGTTGCGGAGTGCATGCAGTGGACAGGGGAGAGCAAGGTACGTTGCTTCTTAGCAGCAGGCAGGTTTGACTGGGTATATCAATGCTGCAGATTTGGAAATTTAAATACTTTGTGAAAAAAATATAAAAACTTAGGTCAACAGTTTTTGTGCTTAGCAGGCTTACTTGAACCATCTAATCTGACCAAGTGCCATAAGAACTGCCATAGATCTCAACTTTTGAGGCTGCCTTGATGATTTTAAACATATTTTTTAAAGAATACTGACTTCACAAGACAAGGACAAGTAACAGAGAATCTATAACTTCAGATGAACTGTTCCTTATTTCACACACTTTGCATAAATGGTAGCTTGCATTGCCCATATGTGTCTACACGTCAATTTTAGGTGGCTTGGTTTGCTTGCTGCCATGCGATAGTCACGAAAGACACCAAAGCAGAGCAGGAACCAGAGGATTCATGAGTAGGACAAGGTCACAAAGAAGTTAGAGGGGAGATAAGATGGAGCTGGGTAGAGGCACAGGGACATATGATGTAGGCATAAAGTAAGATATACTCAACCCCAAAGGAGATTGGGTCTTTCTTTGCTCCATGTTTCTGCTTGTTTCACCCACTATTCATCACAGCTTTTGAAGGACCAACAAGCTACAATGGTAGACAATGGGCAAGCATGTTCTTGCCGTAAAACAATGAGGCAATTCCTTCTGCAGAGCCCCTCACTGCTGAGACAGAAGCCTTTGCTCCTTACATCAGCTGGATGTCTTTTGTTATCTGAACCTATCCCCTCTGTAATTGCACTAATTAATAGCATTGCAAATCTCTTGATGTTTCACATTTGCAGAACACTGTTACCTTGCATCTCACTTTGATGACGTGAGGGTGAATCTGCTGTTTACGACTCGATTCAACTAGTTGATTCCTCTGTTAGCCATGACCTGTTAAGAGATGAAATATGAAGTCAGCATGTGCATCAAAACACTAGCCCTGACTGAGATCCCCTCATCAAAATCTGTGTGCCCTACTTGGGTTTGTCTGTGCTCAGATGTCCTGTGGGTGTAACAAACACAGGGAGAGACAAGAGAAAACTCTGAGGATATCAGAAGAGGGAATTGGTCCTGATTATGTTGATGACAGCTCTTTACCAACTCATTTCTTGTAGTCTCCCAGCCGTCAGCATCAAAACTCTACATGTTGTTTTCAGCTGAAGTAGATGTCTCCCGCTGCTCCTGAGGACTGAAGGATCGTTCCTGTAGTAATGAAATAAAAAACTTTTGACATTACTGTTCCAGACTTTCACCAGGGGATACGGCTGCAGTCCAGTTTACAAATCTGAATTCAGAATAACTTCCCAGAAGCCAGCAGAGTTCTTCCAGCTTTAAGGCTCTCTCAAACTTATTATATCAGCACACTTATGGCCTTTTTCTCATAATGATCTGAAGTGATGGCATGTAGATTTCAAGTGTCCACTTAACTTCCTTCATTTTCTCTTTTTGTTTTAAAGTATATTCGGTGCTGTTCGAACTGGTGCTTATATGCTGTACATTTTGATGACCAAAGGCCTGAAGCAGTCAGTGTGTGACCAGAGTTTTTACATTGGACCTGTCAGCAAATTCTGGGCATATGCATTTGTGCTAAGCAAAGCACCTGAACTAGGTGAGTACCCTCTCTCCCTTTCTCTCACTATGCATATTTAGAGCAGAAATGTCTGTGCAGGAAGCACAAGAAGGGTCTCAGTGCTGTCGAAATCTTGTTTTAGTCTTAGAAAAACTGAGTAGACAAAACCAACCCCAAACGTTGCATGTTTTAGTCTCTAGAGATTAAGTCCAGCTTGGCTGAAGTTAGAGCAACGTGCAGTTGAATAAGACTGTTCCCAGCCCAGGAATAAACTGCAGTGATTATATGCAGCAGGGCAGTCAAGAGGTAAGAGCAATCTGGTCCATGCCTTTTTCTTAGCTACTTGGAGGCAAATACGAGTGGCGTAATTGGGAGGCACTCACCCCGTGGGTAGAGAAGTGAAGGGTGGACTACAGCAGCTGTGTCAGCAAGAAGCTTTGAGTCAGGTTCTGCCTCCATTCTGCAGCATTCATCCTTAAATACACACGTAGGCGTACAATTATGAACAGTAATGTGCTTCCTCTCTAAACATTGAAAGCTGTGGCTGTCTGCTTCCTCCAAATAGAAACCAATTTCCCATAATATCCCTAACTTTTCCAGTCCTGATTCTTACAAACTCCTGTCTCTCCAGCAATTTTTTTGGTAAGGATACTTATGATATACATGTCAAAGTCAAGCTGAATAGCCAGTCTGCATGTGTTCTCATCCTGTGGCTTATTGTGAGAAAGGATTGTTTTAATGGGAAGGAGGAGGCAGCTATTTAGCAGCCCTCCAGCTTTCATTCTGGAGGATGCCCTTACTAAGCCTCAAAGGGCTGAAGCACTCGCTGTGTTCAGGTGTACAGCAAAAATAAGTCTTTACCTTTCAGCAGAGAATTTGATTCAGCAAATTACAGGATGGCAATTCATCAGCATAAAAACTGAAAAGAGACAGACACCAGTTACCTTGCTGTGTCAGAATCCCTTGGTTTCCTGCTGCCTAAATTACTGCAAAACCACGGAAATTTAGTTGTTAAAACTGGAAAATATCAGCTAGAACTGCACAGCAACAATAAATTGAAAATATGATTACTTATTAAAATGTGAGTAAACGTCTTGCAGCTAATGAAGTAAACAGTAGCATTACGGCTTATTACAGACCTTGTGCAGACAGTGCAGTTTTGGTTCTACCCATCGCTAATATTCATGGTTTGGATTTCCTGATGTGTATATATGTAGAACTAAGTCCCCAGATTCAAATCTCGGGGATCTTTTTGGAAACACTGCGTGTATAACAGTATAAAACAAGTAGCATACATGTATACATATATGTAATTGAGATGCTCAGTGCAATCATGAGCAGCAGAAGGAGGAAAAAAGCAGGAAAGAGGAATAAAATTAACTTTTCTACAATAGCAACATGAATTTGCAGAAAAGGATGTGCATTTCAACATAATCCAAATTTCTTTCTAGAAGCATTTTTTTCTGGCAATCCTTTCAGTATTGGAGGTTGTATATGCAACAGCTTTTTGCATAGTAGCTCAAAAGGCTCTACTGAGTTTAACTAGGTTCAGTTTGCAGGTAGGCATTTGAACTGGAGGACACTGTGCTGCTTTCTCTTCAGGTTTTCTGCTCTCTGTTGAGCTGTATTTCTCTTCTAGTCCCAGTATATAATGGGCAGTCTCACAGTCAGAGATGACACACGTACATCCACCTACCTCATCTCAGGCTTTCACGGATTATGTTTGCAGCAAAGGGCTACCAAGTATACCTATGGAGTTTTCAAACAGCGGTTATCCACACAGGAAAATACGGATACATTGGTTTTCCAAAGATTGCATAGAGATTAGGAGCCAAGCTGGCTCTCAGATCAGACAGGCTCTCAGATCTAGAGCTGAGGTGGTTTTTCATGCTCCAAAATAGTGTCTACTTCAGCAACAGCAAAGGGAAGAGAGCACTGCAGTAATTATGGAACTGTTCAATGTGTTTCTCATTTCCTCCCCTCCTTTTTTTTTTTTTTTTTTTTTTTTTTTT